AAATTTGTTGGAAGAACGGTGAACTCAAAACCACCCACAATACCTTTCGGGACTCTCGCGTGCACTTTTTCCGACAACCTTTCTCGAAATAGCTGTATATGGCCTCAACCAAACGGACTTTAAGAAAGTCTACCGTTCTTGCGTTTCTGTACTGTTTTGAAAAAAGCCTCAATTTTTACAGTTCTGGCAAGAAACATTCACTGCAGCTATCCATACTAATTTCCCCGCAAGATGTCATTTCTCAAGGAACAGCGGCCTTTTGGCCTCAGGCATTTGATAAACAAAATTGCACGCGGGGCAGGCTGAGCAGTTTTGATTGACGTTAAATGGCGTTTTTATATATCATTTATAGTTTCATTTGAAATTCATTAATCTGGAAGATAGCCAAGTGCTGCTGACGACCTCCTTTCCAGAGAGAAACCATGATGGGATTTATGATGCTTTCAGCGTTCATCATCGTCAGCGCCGCAATTTGGTGCTTAAAAAATGGATGTAAACTCAATCGCCGCAGCCCTGAAGAGAATATATGCGAGTGTGATTCATGCCAAGCAGGTGAGCTTGTCTGTTTCGAACTCTGTTAGTCGGGCAGAAGGATTGATATTGGCCCGTTTTGTAAAAGCTGCTCCACGGCAGATTTCAAAATTATTAACAAGTATGACACTGAAATATCTATTTAAATGTTCTCAAACCATAGCCAAAGTCTTGAATAGATGTTAACTTCACTAGCCTGATGAATTTCTTCAAGAATGACATTGAAATGCTTGAAGAAAACCCGCCGCCCAAAAATAGCTAGGTTCCTCTAATCTCATCAAATTATACAACATATCCAACCACCTAGATGTAATTTTCTCAGATTTGTTGCCCATTTAACGCGTAACTGGCGTTCCATCGACCGAGAAACAGTGAAAGAGAATTCCTAGAACCCTTCATGCGCGCAATCTTTTCCTTCGTTTCACTAATTTGTCTGGCCACGCGCTAAACTAGACGGTGAACTACGACTCATGTAAAACCGTACGTTACACTGTTTTCACTCATATATTTAACAGTGGAGGTGTATTATCACGCTTTTTTAACTGCTAGTTTGTTTTCCGTTTCTTACAGAACTAAAAGAACACGCAAACATGACGTTTTCGGTTCTGGTTCAGTACTGAAGATGCTGGGGTCAACAGAACATTGCGTAACAACTGAAGATTCCTTTTATTGTCAAATTTTATATTAAGTTATGCCATCTTGAAATTTGTGTGTCTATGTGTATGGACTCTGTACATGAAAAGAACAGTACTGGATCAAGTTCTTATGGTGCAAAACTATAACCAGCAGGGCGTGATTTACTGTACAACTTTGAATTACCTTTCATGTTATTTTCGATATAAACTGCGAGGTTTAATCTACGAGCAATAATAATTATTTTAAAGATTAGAGAGATCTGGATCAGTCAAGAGTTCTTACAGCTGTGCTGTTTTGCTAACTTGGACCGGACTAACTAAGAGTCGACGACCCTGTACCTCTAGCATGTAAAGTAACGTGTGCCTTGAACGAGCTAGTGCTTTACCAAGCTTTATCCCCTTTCGAGTTTAAGTCGCACAATTTTGCAGTCCGTTAACAGCGCTCAAGATGACAGTCCACTTCTGTCCATAACCAAATAATAATTTTATCATGTCAAAATCTTCGAGACTTGTTACCTATTCACTATCAGTATGCCGATCATATGCCGATGACAACATCTTGTTTACTTCCTTTTTCAATAATGATTTTTTTCCGCCTTGGTCTCCGATTCCAGACAAAGTTTATAGGAGCGAAAATCAAAACTTATCTCATGCTACTGTTTAGATTGATTACCACCTCATATAGTCTTGAAATTATTCGACACTAGCACTTGATTTTTGTCTGTTTGATGAGAAGTGCATCAAACTAGTGCAGACTCATTAAACAGTAAACTTATTATCTTTTTTGTCATTAAGAAAAGGAGATCGAAGGCAGACATTTAGTCATGCGTTCATGAATACTCAATATTTAATCTTGCTTGTACGTTCCTGTAAACTGGAAACAGTCTTGACTTGTCTGATTTTAGGGAGAGTGCAATAAAGGCAAACGAGGCAATTTTCTGTCTTTTAAGATTATAACCATTCAAACAGAAAACCGATTGAAGCCGAAAACGACATTTTCCATTAGACCTATAGAGCTTAACCAATGAACCCAAAAAAACTCCTTTGCCTGGAGCGAAACAAAAACTTTTGTTCAAATTCAATTACGCCTGAATGTAATCTGCAAAAACATCTATTATCCAGCTGGATTGTAGGAAAGCCTATAAAGAAAGAATTTTAAAAAAATCCGTTAAATACAGTCGAAAGTTAGTCGAACTTCGTCACATCGGCCACCTTGGGGACAGAAGAAATTGGCCGTTGTGGAGAGGTGGCCGTTATGGGCAGGTATGGGTGTAATAAGTATAGGTAATAGCATGATTTGTAGTGATATTTGGTATAAATACCACGAGTGATATTTCGAAATTGTTATACAAAATTTCACGAGCCCTTAAGCGAGTGGGATTTGAGACAATTTCGAAATATCACGAGTGGTATTTATGCCAAATATCACGCACAAATCATGCTATTATTTGTTTATACTACTACCCACAAAAGGTTTGTAATTTTCACATGTAGGTATTTCAAATCAAGCTGAAATACCATTGCTCTAAGCCAATCATATTGTCGAAATTTCTCATGCAGTAGTATATGAGGAATTTTTTCATGGGGTACAACATGTTTATTGTGTTAAGTTCATACTTACTGTATCCCATAATGGAAATTCTTTCAATCCAGTCACTATACAGAGACAAAATAAACAAAACACTTGAATAATTTCTTCAATCGAAATGTTAACGTGACAAAACGAGAAAGGTTCGCAACAATCGCTTTAAGTATCGTAGATAATTTATACTTACTGCAGCAGTATAAATGGAACACAATTGAAACACGAGTGCCGCGATAAATCGTCAACGCGTCATATGGATCAATTTTCATCACCATTCTCCACTTTTTCATCAGTCGTTGAAAACCTGGCGGTTGTCGAGAGGTTATTTTGGCAGTTGAGACACTCTTTAGTGGCCGTTGACGTTGTAGAGAGGTTTTTGTTTAAAAACAAAAGTCAATGTATGGTCTGTTCGGCGGTACAAAAGAAAGAGACCGTTGTAGAGAGATGACCGTTGTGGAGAGGTGGCTGTTAGACGTAACACACACAATAGGCTAGCCTGCGCCAGGACGGAGCTAAACTTCTACCTGGGTTAGATTACGTCTGCAACACAGACTAACACGCAATAGATTGTATAAAAGAAAAAAAGCGACTGCCGCATTTTTGTGCTTAGCAACACCATTTTGCATCAGGAGATTTGGCTGCAAAGTTTTTCCTCGGCGTGGATTGATCGTGTGAATGCGGTTTCCGTCCTGATTTGATGTGTGTATCGTCAATTTTCCCGTTTTCAGCTTTGTTTACTGGAACAACGTATGGCTAGTAGGGAACAAAGTCTTTTCTTCGATGAAATAGGGAGTTTAAGCATCTACAACACCGATGGCAGCGAAAACGTCACACAAAAAGCCAATTCACGCTGCCTCAGACTCCTTCGCCTTTATTCTATCTAGTTGGCAACGAAATGTACCAAAAAGTGTGCTGCTTGTGCAAAGTTGTTGTTTTGCTTAATAAACCGTCGCCGTAGTCTTTACTAAAGCTCCCTAGTGCTGTCTCAAAATGGCACCATTAAAAAACGCTAAACTAAGATGTACTGCATGAAATTGACTCATTTTCGGGCAATCACGAGTGGCGTGAAACAGTAAGGTAACTCGAAGCGTAGGAAAATAATAGCCACCGAAGAAAGAAGCACTTTCACTGTTTCCATTACGGTGGGAAACCCGCGAGAGACACTCGAGATCTTCACATTACTGCAAACTAAAGTTTAGAACACGATCCCTTTCTAGCTGCAAGACAAACTTGATCTGCCACGCGGATTCCGGTTTCTATCGCAGTTGGCACAGTTGAACAGGATCGAGGACTTGTAGCTTCACCCACAAAAAACAAGCGATCTTTAACAGGCCTTGTGTATCCACCGCGAATGAAGGGATGGTTTGACCAATGAAAATACTCGTAGTCCAGGAAGGAATCGGTCGCAGGACGAGGATCGCTGGGTGTGTTGTGAAAAATAAATAAATAATTAAATAATAACAATAATAATAATAATGATGATGATGATAAAATAAATAACATAAGGCATATTGGTAAGATAGTGCCCACTAGAGATTCCGGTTAACAAGACGAGACTTGATTTTGAGGAAAACGTCATATTCGTCATGTGAGTGGGACAAAACGTTTGAACTCCCAACGGGGATGCAATCTGGACCCATGACATCACTAAATACCCCCGAGTCCCAAATAGCGAACGCGCACACTTAGCTACGGGGAGACTCATTAGGAGCTAGGCCGTTTCGGAGGTTTATGTGTGTCACGCGTCCTGCATAGGATCAGGAATGTCGAATCATAACTTGTGCGGTGAAAAAACGAGAGAACGTTGAGCTTTATGCACTAGACGCCTATAATAGGCGTACACTGGGCTGCACGATGCAATAATGAAATGGTTTGGAAAGCGTATAACATACCTGATGCAGGGATGAGATGAGATTGTTCTTTTTCCAGAATACTGACTTTTTGTTCCCTTTTGCCACGAAATGACTTGGGCCTTTTCATGGAAAAATTCTAAGTACTTACAATATCAAAATTTTCTTACCCGAACATCTCATCCAAATGGCTCAACAATCCGTCCAAGATCTGTTGACTGCTGAGGCTACTTTTCTGTTCCGCAGACTGAGCAGTTTCAAACCCAACAATCACGTGACACTTGTCGTCATTAACAGCCGAGTCACGCGACCACATCCGTATTTCACTTGTAAATCCCCGTACACTGTAAATTTGATGAAGTCGGGCCAAAACCGGCGTTTGAATTGACAAATAATTTTTCACACTCCCAGCATCTGGATCCTGTTTATGGCTCTGCTTTTGTCAGCGGGAAGTTCTGGAACAAAAGTGATGTCCCTATCTTTGAGGATTGTAAGCGGGACAGTAATGACGACGTATTTAGCGGTTATAATTTCCCCGTGTTGATTCTTCAAAAGAATTCTTCCGCCTGCATTTAATATGTGGCTGTCTTCATCTGCAAAAAAAATAGTGCTCACTGAACGTGAAAATAAATACTTCTTAGCGGAGAGTTGCAAATGCTTCAAAACAAAACGTTGCATGGAAAATCGACTTTACACCGTCATGTCAGCGTTTTAAACCAGACTTCCCTGACCGGGAGCCAGTTACTCCTAAACTAAGCCTTTGACCGGCGTTTTCCAGACCGGTTATACATTTTAGATCACTTTTCCGCCGAAATTAAGGCCCAATTCAAACGTCGTGCTTCCACAGTGCTTTTGTCAAACTTATTCAAAAATTAAGGCGGCATGGCAGAAGCACGACGTATGAACTGGGCTTTAGTCCGCAATAGTTACACGAGGAAAAATGAAAACAATCAAACGACCTTACCTTTTATAAAACTACCATTTCTCGACCTCAAATTTTTTATTATTAATTTTTGGAAATACTACGAGTCTAAACTGTCTTCTAAAACGTCTTTTCAAGTTGCAGGGTTTTAACACAAACATACTGCGTCTTCTTCTCGTTAAAAGGAATTTCGGAAAGCAGAGACTTTTTTCAACAATGCGCTAAGGAATGGAACTTTTTAGACGCATCTTTTAAAGAAATTAACCCTCTTCCTCTTTTTAAACACAGCAGTAAAAGCTGTATACTTTAGATATTTATAACTTTTAATATTTAATTCTAATCTATCTGACATTTTAACATTTTTAACCCGTAGCTTATATTAGTTAAGTTTTTGCTCTTAACTTTTACTTATCATTACTATTACGTATTCATTTATCTAAGATCATATATTTTTCCATTGTTTTACAGTGCGTCACTGAATATCACTCTTTGTGAAGTGAGCTCCCTGTATAAAGATTGTTATAATTATCATTATTATTATTATTATTATTATTATTATTAAAAATTGTCATCTGTGACATCACAGCTTTTTTTCTGAAATACTTCCTTCATTTTTAATCAGAATAGCAGTAACACCTTAGACTGCAATACAAGTCTTTTATTCGAACGCATACGGTCCTCAAGCCAGACTTCTAAAACAAGTGTGATGACAGACAAACAGAGTCGGAAGAGGCATGTGTGTCGAACATAGAGACTCGAGCTACTCGCTCGCTTTCGGGTGCGTGACTCTCTCCTCCGCAGAGGCTCCCACTGGGTATCCCCATCAAATCTCTTCCCCCTTCCCATCGTGCCCCGCGCGCTCTCTTTTTCTTTCTCCCCAGCCTCCCCACAATACAAAGAGGCCTCTGCGGAGGAGAGAGGGTGCGTGAAAGTAAACTGATGCACTGCAGTTTAACTTAAAGCGAACTTTAACATTGCACACCTTGTACATTCAAGCATAGCAAGAACAGTTAACGTAAATGACAGTTACAGAATCAAACATACATACTGTATACTTATCTAAAAGATGACTGTTTACTCCTTACCTTTCCAAACGATTTTCTTAACTTGCCAGTTGAGTCGTTTATCCACATCTCTGGTGTTATTTAAGTAATACTTTACCAGTTGGGAATATGATTCAGCAAGTCTGAAGTGTCAAACACAGGTAAAAAGTAAGGACAAGCTCCCCGAGAGGGACTTCATCAACAAACTCAAAAATTAGAACCACCTTGTGCAGCATAATAAAAAGTAACACAGGAAAGGAATACTCAGAAGCTTTCAGTTGAATGGTCACACTTTAGGATTTCATCCACAAACTCAAAAGCAAAACCACCTTTTGAAGCACAATAAACAGTACCACAGGAAAGCATTGCTCAAACGCTTTAATGTGAATGGCCACACTTTACGAGTTCATACTTGAATTCAAAATTAAAGTTAGGACCACCTTGCACAGTACACCATTACTTTGTCCGAAGACATACAATCAATTCATACTGTACGACCTACAAAGTACTGAGCTGACCTGCAATTTCCAAGACCCCACTCAAATTTCGATTCCATTCTCCTTCTTCCTTCACGTACTCCATAATGTTTCAAAGACCCAGCTGAAATCCTTAGTTTCCAGTAGTCAATAATGTCCAAAACATCCTGCGACAATCCCTTGTCTTGAAACCTGTCATACAGGGAATCTGACAGCGAGCCATCCTCATTACCTTGGTGATTGTATCTACTGCTGATTATTTCTTCCCACGTATCTCTGGCGACTTTAATTTCTGGCTGGTTGCTGGACAGAGAGTAAAATTTCCCTTTGTAGTAATTTTTTTCACCTTCTTCTTCATCTCCACTATGGGCTGCCTGCAAGATTCAGAGGAAAAACGTAATGCAGCTCAGGAACATAAATGGTTTTCAAGTAGAATTTGATACGTTAAAATGATAGCTAGTGACCATCATAGGGTTAAGCTGGGTTATATTTGTGTTCTGAGGATTATTAACCAAGGGTATTGATTTTATACCAAACAAATTGCAACAGATAAATAATTAATAATTAATCCACTTGCCCCTGTTCCGCCCGTAACTGCGTCCCTTGTGTCACTTGTGACGTCATCAGTTTTGGCGGTCAAATTTGTCCACTATTAACTTGTGCAGGTTGAAGAGATCATTTCAAACCATACCAGAATGAGCACTGTTCAGTCAAGGAGGCCCGAGGAAAAGGCAAAAAACCCTGATGTAAAGTTGACCCGAAAATTACGATGAAAGCCTTGTTCCACTACCAACCTGCACTTCCTTCCATCTGATCCTACACAGGAAGATAGCATTTTGCTTTTACTTTGCATATTGGTATACAGAAGGTTGCGAAGTGAATGAACTTCAAAGGGCTTTTTGGTAAGTTTTAGCACTTAAATAATAGCCAGACAGTGACCAGAAAACTGCTTGACTAGCTTCAAAACGCGTTTCTTGGCAAAATTCCCAAGGGCGAATGGGTTAAAGACATGTTCACAAATTTTCTGAACTCTCTTTGATGTTTTAAATGTTTTAAAAAGTCTGGTGTTATAGTGACTCTAGTGTTTTTTATTGACTTTCAGTGAAACAGGACTTTTTTTGTTTTGATTTGGTTTGTTTGATTGTTTTTTTGGGGGGGGGGGGGTGGAAGGGGCAAAGGGGGTTTTTATTTGGCCTTATCTGCTACTATCATACAAGAGGACCAACTGTCATATATCCAGACATTGAGCAGTGATTTTGTCATAAATAGTTATGGCGAGTCCTGGGACTCATCTTGTGAAAAATCATGAGTCCCAGTCCAGAACCAATGAGTCCGAAATTGAATGCTTGGGCCTTTATGTAATCAGACAGTTAATCTGAAGACAGAGCCCAAAACTATGTATTACAGTGCACTGAAATTAAAATATAGTAGTCCTATTTTAAAGCACGACAAAGGCTAAATGAAATATGCATCGTTTAACAACAGCCATTTATAACTTTAACGAATGGGATGTTTCTACAAATACAAATACAAATACAAAAGTTCAGATCAATCGATCGATCTTTGTGTCCTACAGGATGCATATATCATGAATTACTTTGCATATTTGGGGATTTTTATGTGTCAGGAACGCAGGACACAGAGGCAACAAAATCACTGATTGAGGTGGTGAGGAGGGTAGGGTGCACTCATCCAAGCCTTGACATAGGGCAAGGGTTTCAATGTTAAAAAGCTGCAATTGGCGACAAAATTAGTTGAGACACTTTGCTCTAAAGGGCCTTTCTAACGTTTTACAGACTTTGAAAAATGAAGCTTCCCCTCCCCCATCCCGTCCATGCAATGTTGTGCCGATGCCGCTGTCTGTTAAGATTTTAGGGAGAGGGGGCCTTACAGTCCCTTTCCTCATCATTGCGGCCTATTTCACCATTGGCATCCACTTTATCCCTTTAGGTCCCAAGAGTGACCAACATCAATTTTCTCCCAACATCATCAGCAGATCATCAAGAGTAAAGGTTATGAGAAGTACTAAATTGATTATCAAAGGGTGAACACTTTGATCTTAAACCAAATTCTCTCAACTATTCTTAAAACAAATGTAGGGAGATCAGTTTGGAGAATTTGTATGTAGATCTTGGGGCTTAAAGGGTTAATATGGAAAAGTTATTTAGAGCCCTGGATAAGGTGAGCCTGCTATTGAAGATAAATCTCCTAATTAAGCTGGTTTTGTGGTCCTTTTTTGGTCCAAAAAAGGGGTGGCAAATCATCTGGGCACCTCCGGGGGTGGGGGGGGAGGCTAATGGGGATGTGCCGCTGGATGGGGTCGCATTTTCATGACTGGATTGACTAATGGGGTCACATTTTCACTAGAGTTACTAGAATGGGGTTGGGATTTTTTGGGGTAACAAAGTATTTCATTTACAGTTGGCAAACGTACCAGAATGTTTGTACTGTAGGTGAAAATTGAAGTGTTCTTCATTCAGTTTAAAAAATGGGTCAATTCATAAAAATAGAAAGTGTCTAAGTTGGGATCGCAAAAATTACATATTTGCCCAAAAGTGACTAAGATGGGGTCTATTATTGATCACAGAATAGACTATAATGGGGTAGGGGCTCTGAGAGGCCAGCGGCACATACCCATAAAAAATTTACCCTAGTACCCCCCCTGGGGGCACCTCTTCTAGATCTACCACTGGTATCTCCCTCTGTGAGGTTATGGCATCGAGAAATTGAGGCAGCAAGAGTCACTGGTACACATGTTGTACTTACAGGAAGGATAAGCCAGTCATTATCCAGAGCAAGCTTATTAACGACAGTGTTTGATCCATGAATAAATTCTTCACCAAGATCAAAATAGCCAAAACCTTTGAAAGGCTGTGCTTGCATTACTCTGCCACCTATTAAAATATATAATTACACAATATAACATCTCAGTTAAGGTCATTTATTGTGCCAAATATCAATGGCAGCCTACGTGGCTCATACCACAAAAAAAAGCACTTTATTTGAGTGTCAGTGTGTTTTGCATGGTAGTTCTAAGGGGACACTATTTTTATGTCTTCAACTGGAGACGGGCTCGCCATTTTACGATGGTCAATTGAGCCCCAAAAGACATGTGAATGATGAATGATTTTAAACACAGATTCAAATGCTGTGATGACATCAAAATGTATAAAATGATGCAAAATAGCACAATATGAAAGCCATTCCCAGCAGCCACTGGTAAACTTTAAAATCATTTGACTCTTATCAATGTTTCTAATGGGGATGCTTTTGATAAGGTGGTTCTTACAGTTGACTCCCGATAACTCAAACCCTCACCAACTCGAACCTTGCACTTCTGAGTTATTACTTAATTAAGTTATATCTCAAAAGTAAGGCCCTATAAGAAGCACCCCATCAGAAATATAAATTTCTCCCATTGCTAGGAGGGGAGGGGAGGCTTAAAAGAGAGGGGGGTGGCTTATTAATTTTCTTCCCCTAAAAAGGGAGGGGCTTAGTAGAGAAAGGGGGCTTATTTGAGAGGGGGGATTAATAGAGGATTTATGGTATCTTACTTTGGAAACTAATTTCAAACTCTTTCTGGAATTACTTCTCACAGTATTACTGGTATAAGTAAAATACTGCATATTCAAAGCACAGAAAAGGTCAAAGCAATCAACCTACCTAGGTAGTTAGCAGCCTCTAACAGAACCACATCAAACCCAGCCTTAGACAGCGACAATGAAGCAGCAAGGCCTGCTAAAACTCCACCAACAATAACAACTTGATTATCGGGAGAGAGACCTCCTAATCCTTTAGATAGAGAAAACTTTTAATGTTTTTGTTACTTATTACATTATATGACTGTTGAAAAAATACTGATTAATGCTTTAATATTGTCGACTTTTGCAATTTCTGGTGACCAACTTTTTTTTACTTTGTGGCACACAATAAGGACAGAAAAATATGTTTAAATTAACATATTAAAGGTGCATTTGATTTGATTTTTAGAGATTACAATTTAATGGATGCCAAAACAAATTAATGATATTTCTAGTCAAGAGTTTATTTATTTATTTTTTAATATGTCAAAATACTTTATTGAAATCTTATTAACAGCTACACACAAAACTTCAGTAAAATATTCATATAAAGAAATGTCAATATCAATACAAAATTCCAAGAAATCACATAGAGTCAAAAGTCCCAGTGGATGAGTTTATTCTATTAATACTCATTTTCTTGAATATACAGCCAATCGAACACACCCCATTTAAGTAAGAGAAGGCCATCTTCCTTTGTATTTAAAAGGATTGCAGAGGCATAGAAATTAGGTTTATAGCAAGAACAACCCCAGCTGGTGATTAAACAATGATTTGAACACAGGTGACTGGTAACCACTCCACCATGCTGTCTCCTAAACATAAATTTACTAAAGTGTAAATGCACTAATATACTACCATTCCAAGGAAAAGAAGACTGGACTGCATTTAACATCAATGTTGAACTTTCATTTACTGTTTCCATATAGCTTTGAATACACTGGGCTTCTTGTCTTCCTTCTTCTGAAACACTCAGGGAACTGATGAGATCTTCACAAATGTTTAAAATAGCAGAAGTTTCCACATAATCTCCTACCACTCCATCCTCAACTTGAAAATTGGGAATCAAATCAGGTTTGTAAACAAGGAGACAAATGTCACAATTGAGGCCTTGGTATCTATCAGGCGAAATCCTGCCGAATACAAACACTTGGATTGTTGAGACCAGCCATGTTTGCCAGCCAATTTCAGTCTATGATTCTTGGTCAAAACACTGAAGATTTCATGACACCTTTTATGTCCACTTTGCTGGGCATACTGCAAAAATTGAAAATAAAATGTTACGTTACAAGATATAACCATTTGGAATTTATCATCTTTATAATCTAATTACAGTACAGTTATGACTGTACATAATCTGAGGACTTCCTAAAGACAATTTGTCAATATAGAGGAAAATACAAGAAAACAATACAAGACGTGAAGAGATTTTTGTCATATCGTCCTTCTTTAATTATTATAACATTCAATGCTACTCAATGCTGCCTTTGTTAGTTGGGATTTCAATGCACTATATCTATCAGGTTCAGCACCCCAGATGGGGAGTACTCCCTAGAGGCCCGGCCTGCCAGGGTAAATTCCGACAAGCGACATGGCCCAAGACAGCGCGTAAAATGAATATCCGAGAAGAGACAACCTCCCTCGGCCAAATTGTGACAGAGACGGCAAAGCCGACAATAAGTGACAAGCATTTATAAACACTGACACGAGACATTTTAAAATTCAGATGGCTGACATGGACCCCCCCCCCCCCCTGGTAGGGCCTCTTCCTATAATGGACACGGACGCTCCACCCAGAAGGGGTACCTTTTTCAGGCCTTAGGTATATGAAAGTGTGGGGAATCCACTGGTTGAAGTATATGAAAGGGTAGGAAGACCTGTCATTTTGGTCTGTAAAAGGGGCTAACAGATGCATTTTGAAGATAAACATTGTGGTTGTGTGATTTATTTATATTTTAACCTAGACAAGGCATTTACAGCAGGGATATAAAGTTCTAATTAGGTATCTAAGAGGAGTACCATTTGTTTATAGAAGGAATACGAAGGAAGCATCTTTTTCTGTCAAAAATGGTATAAACAAAGGACAAGGGGTTGGACCTCGGGGCATTGAGCCTCCAGTGTTTTAGTTAATACTTTAAAGCGGGGAGTCATGTACACCATCTGAGGTGTCACCAAGACCACATGCTACTTTTTTTCGTTAAATGTAACATAACACTTATATGTCATCTGTCACGTCAGGAAGCCTTTTTATTGTCAAGTAATTGACCATCTGGAACACTGAGCCTCCCCATCTAAAGCTTTTTAGAGCACCCCATCAGTTTTCAGCTCTTTACAGGAAGGTTAGAAAAGTAGCCAAAATAAGGAAGCATCCATACACCAGTCTTGCTTTCCCAACCCCTAATAATGATCCCCTTAACACCCCCACTCCTCCTCAAAATAAAACAGGAACAAAAAACAGAAGAAAAAGAAAATTATAATAATAATAAAAATAAATAGAAAACATTATTGCCCTTCTCAACCTAAAAGAAACTCATTAGACATTTGCTGAAAAGAGAAGCTCCCTAATTTTTAAGGCCCATACATATGAGAGTTGTAAGTAAGCTTAAATATGAACCTTATTGAGAATAGAGATGGCCTCCTTCAGTAGCTCTCGTGTGCTTTCAATCTCCTGATCAATCAGATCATTCCAGTTTAATATCTTTACAAATCCATAGTTCCCACTGGCAAAGTACTGAACAAACAGGCTACAAACAACGTTGGATAAACTCCCTTTTGTACAAATTCCGTCCTCGTCCAAACTCACAAGGAGAGTTTTCATTTGGACTTTCATGAGCTGCCTCTTCCAAAGAGCATCCTTGATGTAGTGTTTATTGCTGCTTTCAACAATTTTTAATACGGATTCCTCGAGATCCCCATTGTTAGGGAGGAATTCTGTAGTAAAGTCCAGGATTCGCATTGTGTTGCAGGAGTTGCAGTGCGATTTCTGCATTGTGCGTGAACTCGTTGCGTGACTACTGGCTCAGCTTTCCGTGACGTCAGTAGATTCCAGTCTCCCACGAGAGAAGTCCCACGAGTGAGCAAACGTTGTCCAAAATGGCGGTAAAAGTGTCGTCTTCTTTTGCTTTTATTTGTTGTGTTTCCTGGATTTGGAGCCAGACATAAAGAAGGATGGAAAGTCTACTTGCGTATAACAGCAGTTCGGACGACGAAAGCGATAGAACAACTAAAGATGAACAAGACTTCAAGAAAGGCAAAGTGAAGCTTCCTGGAACAGACCAGGCAAAACTCCAAGAAATCAAAGATGTTTGTGCAACAGAAAGCGGCACACAGCCATATGATAATCGGATGGGGCCTTTTCTTGAAGCAAGAAATGCTATTGGGCTCAATGAGTGCAGTTATTCTAAATCAAAACAAACTTCCTTGAGAAATGATAATGGTTCCATTGTTGTACAAAGAACTTTTAGTGAGCCACAGTTTCCAGTGAGTAATTCTAACCAAGAAAAGAAAAGCCCAGCTTTCAACAGTTCATTGACTCAATATAAGCATTCAAATTCGAGTAGCATATCAGGCAGAAGAGTAAAACCTTACATCTCAAAGAGGGAAAGAGAAAAATTGGCACAAACAGCTTTACCTGGTAGTTCCTCTTCTCCACTTAAATGTCAGTTAGCTGCGGAGAAGTCTAATTTTGATCATTCTATAAAGGAAGTCGATTTGCAACCTAACAGACCTTGTGAAATATCAGATGGAAAACGTTTAGCTCGCGCATGCCGGCCGCCTAAACAGTTGCATTTAAATTTTGAAGGTCATTCGCAAGGAGTCAACTGTGTGCATTGGAACCCAACTAGAGGTAACCTGTTATTATCTGCAGCAATGGATCACTTGGTCTGTGTATGGGACACTTCATGTGGGAGTACATGCCACAGGAGACTTACACATCATACAGCAGCAGTGAAAGACTCCAAGTGGAGTTTATGTGGAGAGAAAATCTTTAGTTGTGGTTATGACAAAACTGCTAGACTTTCTAATTTGGAAACAGGTAATGTGAACCATGTCTGTAGTTTGAAGATAATGCACATGTCATTGGCTTGTCTCAGGGGTAGGAACTGGGGCTAACCAGGGCAATGAATGTCGGGCAATAGTTCTCTACAACTGGCGGAGGGGGAATTTCACAAATAATTTAAATTTGAAGAAAAGGGATGGGGGAATTCAAATTTTGTAAAAATAGTAGACAGCAACCACCGTGAAGTCATCAGGATTTACTGCTTTCCCACACCCTTAGATATCTGAAATATAACATTTTAATGGCCAACATCATGTTTACTCGCCACGGACTACCAGGCTACTGGAGATGGTGAACCCTGCTATGACATGTGCATAAAACACAATGAAATAATTATATTACTAACCTAATGTGCACTTTGATGGGATAGCTCAGGAGTGAATCAGGGTAAACAAAAAAGGTAAAGAGTCTTTATTTTATGTCAGTGGCTCGAAATAGCCATATGATTAACCAACCTGAGGCCAATGGTGCACCCATTTCCCCCCCCCCCCCCTCTCCATTAGTGCTCCGTTTTACAGGTACAGTGGAACCCCGCCTTACGACCACCCCGTTTTTAAGACCACCTCGTTATTACGGCCATATTCTTCCAAACCAAACGTAAAAAACATTGACTCATTTTATTATTTTGAAGACCCCGTTAATGTGACCACCTCGTTATTAGGACCAGGATTTTATGGCCCAACGGTGGTCGTATTAACGGGGTTCCACTGTATTTAAAGCTACGGAAAGCTAAAAGGAAAGGAAAGAAGGTGAAAGAAGGACTTGAGGTCACAACTGGGAATCGAACTAGGGAATTCCGACACAGAAGGCCTTATTGCACTAGCCAACTGTGCTAACCCTTGATCCCCCAGACTTTCCCCTCTTCTCACCCCACATTCTCCTTCTACCCTAAAAACTTGAAATCTGAAGGTGAACCTCATAATAAAAAAAAATCGTAGATCTCTCAAAACAGCAAGATAGTTTCCACAAATTAATAGACAATGTTATCATTTATTATTTTTTTATTTTTATTTTTATTAATTTGCCACACAGAATAAATTACAAGTAGGATAGAAAAGATAATAAATAGTTAATTAATATTAAATTTAAAATGAGCATACAACTCGGAAGGAGTGACTGTGGCTGGAAAATCTCTGAGAGGCAGAGCTTATGAGGAATAGAGATTTTCCCCCACAGGCAATTTAAATACTAGGCGGCATTTTAAAATAGACATAAGACGTGTATTGTAAGTATATAAGTGTGCGTAGAGAAAAATATAGATATAAGTTGTTAAGGTATTTAGGTTGTATCTTGTCTGACCCTTAAAAATGGTTTGATCACACACTTGAATATATTAAAAGTTGGGGCATTTTTGATGTTGCTCGGGAATAAACTCCATATTCAAGGACCTTGAAACAGGATCGAAAATTTTTTGATATTAATTTGTTCTACAGGTATGAGGTCGGTAAAAGTCGGAGTATCTTGTTGAATATTGATGAATCTGATTTCCAGTTTGAAAGATTTGAGTAAAAGCAATAGGTAAAGCGTCATTATGATATAGGTACATGAAAGAACTTACTTGGAGCGAGTAGATACTAAAAACATCAAGAATTTTCAAATTTGCAAAAAGAGGTTTACTAGAAGCCTTGTAGTAAGCCTTAGAGATCGCCCGGACTGCTCTTTTCTGTAGTAGGTAAATTGTAGAAGGTGTAGTTTAATGTGCTCTACCTTTAATTCTTTTTAGGTCAAGAAATCATTAAATTTCCTCACAAAAACTTTGTCACCTGTGTCCAGTTTCACCCAAGAGATCCGGCATTATTTTTGTCTGGGACTTTCAAATCTGCCATCTTATGTTGGGATACAAGAACTGGAAATGTAAGTGTACAGAATGCATATTGTTCTCAGAGTGCCACTAACCTCATGAAATAGAATCTAAGGGCTCAAAATGAGATTGCTGGGACTACTGACTACTGACCCACCAGAGTAATGTTATCTCAGTCACGTCTCTCTTCTGGCCAGTCATAATGTTAAAAAAACGCGATAATAACATGAATATCCTACCCCAACAAGCTAAAAGATAGAGTAAAAAAGGATGTTTGTCCCTTTGAAACATAATGCTGTGTATATATATTTTTTTTTCTGGTGGCTTGTTTATGTGTCCAGTCAAAATGACCAGTAAACCGAATGTTTGTTCAGACAAATGGCCATCTTGGCTGGACATAGTCTGTTGACCGGCCATTATTTTGAGGCCTGGAATCTGCTGTTGTAATCTATGTTTTTACATTACTTGCAAAAGAAAACTGTTTTGCATTGAACTGTTTGAATAAATTAATTATTTTTACATTGCATGCAAAATACTGAATAGGAAAAAAATAGTAATAACTGGTGAAAAAATGCCAAGTAAGAACAGTTTTTTTTGTAAGAAGGTTGCAGATTGGGACCCAAACTTATAAGATTTTAAAACAAGAAGACAACATTTTCATGTAATTTTCCCTCACAGATCACATCAACATACTCTGCTCTTTTTGGCCAAGTACAGGACATAGCATTTCTTCCTGGAGGAGATGAGTTTGTTTCTGCTGCTGAAGTAGTCAAGAGAAATTCTACAGACAAAGGAATCATGGTCTGGGATTTTAGATCAACTGCAGTATTATCCAATCAAATCTATCAGGTCCGTCTTCAGCATTAATCCCTCCTATTTGAAATGCAAATATGCATTATTTGAAAGAATATATAATTTTGGAAACAGGGGTTTTCCCTTTTAATCAGAATGATTGTTCTGTTTGTAAGTTCTTAAGAAAACACAAAGTCACCATTGTCTTCCTGAAAATGGGACCAAAGTGCTCATTAGCCTCTCCAGGGGGTACTCCCTATAATGGTCTATACCAGAGCTCTGCCCAAAGGTGTACCTTTTTCAGGCTTCATTAGTTGATGTAAGAAAAATTGTCATTTTGCTCTGTGAAAAGACAAAAACTACCAAGAGATGTACTTTATGGCTGTGAAGAGATAAGACAACTTCCTGGTTTTGTAATTAATACATATTAGAAGGATGGTGCATTTACAAAGGTTGAAGTGTTCTAAACTAGGTATGTGAAAGGGGTCACATTTGTCAATAGAAGGTATATGAAAGAGGTACCATTTCTGTCAAAAATGGTGTATAAAAGGGTATAAGACTTTGTTCACTCCCAGGACATAAGCAGGGCATTATCTGCTTCAAAACATGTTTTTCGTTACTGCATATGAGAAAACTGCTGTCTAATGGCAGTTCTCTAGAGGTGACATAAAGTTCTCCCGAACGATCAAACATAATTTGACTGATAAAGACAGTTATTATGAATCATAGCATTGCGCATATAAACGTACTTGGAATCTCACACGTTAGAGAAAGAAAATAAAAATTATTATCTTCAATTTTTTTGTTGTGATCCAGGAAGCCTTCACTTGTACTTGCTTAAAAGTCCATCCTCATGAAGCTCATTTTGTGGCCCAGTCCAATGGAGATTACATTGCTTTGTTCTCAACAAGGAAGCCATACAAATTAAACAAGTTCAAAAGATATGAGGGCCACAAGGTATTATATTCAATTTCTGTTACTTATAAATAATGAATCCCATAGAAAATGGGTTACACTTTATACTATACAGTCATTTCCTTGGGCACCCATACTCTTCCCCCTACTGTGGACGACAAACTCCTGATGGCAGGGACACTGAGGAGTTAACTGCCCTGCAGTGGGGACAAATGAAGAGGGCAAATCCCCTGCCTCCAGGATTGTCCCAAATCAACACTACAGCAGTGTTCATTGTACAATAGGGTAGTGCCACTTTCAGCATTTTAATGTGCAATTTTGTCTTGTTTCTGCTCATCTGCCACATCTTTTGTTTATAACAATCAACTTGCTATCTGATGTAAATAAATACTTCCAAGACAACACAACTACATGATTTTCATTTTATTATTATTTATACTGTATTGTAAATAACTTCTTTGTAAAAATATATTGAGATTAAAAGTTAGAATAGTCTACTATAAAGTCATATTTTTTTTAATATAAATGATGACAGACTTAAAACTTAACCTAAAGCACCCTTAAGCCTAAAACAGCAGCACTATACACTTAAACAATAAAGAAAGTGCCAAGGAACTTTTTTCTGTGTGTATGATTAGAATTTCAAAACACCGGTGTGTAGACTCTAACTAGTTAGTGCGCCAGATGACATGGGCTCAATATTCCCTTCACAATTTTTTTCAACCTTTGACATGGACAAGTTAGGGAAAATCCATCCATTCTGCTGGAAAGGGGACTTTTTAATTAGTAAAATTGCCAAGTTTGCAAATGATTTGTTGAAAACTAATGAAGATATAGGTCCTCAAAGTCAAATGTCTGTAAATTTTGGCAACTTTGTGGAGGTATATCCTTGCTCACTTAATATGTACCACTTTAAAACTTGGGAATATTACTAATTTTAAGGCGCTCTTATTTCCAGTGGTGTCAACAGATTTTTCCTGACTGGTCCATGTTAAAAGGTGAAAAAACCTTGAAAGGGTCTATTCTTATCATGTCTTGCTTGTTATGAGATAATCATAGCAACAACAGTGATCAATCTCAATCCTTTCCTCTTTGTTATATAAAAGTGTACAACCAGACAGTTAGGATTAGCGCATGAGCCAATCCCAGGCATGAACCTAAGATGGCCCATCTTGCCCATTTGGGATTTCCCAGTTAGTCCTGCAAGAAAAAGTTCTCCTAATGGGAACCTTTATTGACCAAGCTTGTTTGGTCAAGATGGCTGGATATTAACCTCGTTCTCGTGATCTTGGTGCATAAAAACACAAGGAAAACTTGGCAAATATCCAGCTACAGTGTATCTTGACTCCACACTTGGTCAATAATGCATACATATTAAATTCTGGATTAACATTTTATTGTTAGGTGAGTGGATATCACATTGGGTGTGATTTTAGCCCTGATGGCTCAATCATTGCCTCTGGCTCTGCGGATGGACAAATTTATTTTTATGATCATCACACATCCCACATGGTGAGAACATTACAGGCTCACTCTATGCCATGTATGGATGTTGCTTTCCACCCCACCCTGCCAAACTGTGTTGCTAGTTGTGGGTGGGAGGGACAAGTCAAAGTTTGGAAGTAACAGTATTGTACTGGAGTGTATTAAATGTATAATAACTATTAATTTTTTACACTCTCTCTTTTTTAAAATTTTTTAGTCTCTTTGGATTTTTATTTTCAAGAGAAAAGTGTTTTCATATTTTGCCTACTTTAAGGCATGGTAGACCTTATATTAATTTTATTTTCGGTAATTATTTATTTCTTTTTAGTAACTAAAATTATAAACACCATATTCATCAATAATCTTAAAAACTATTAATCATGAATGATTTTGATATAAAATATATTATGGTTTTTGAAACACTGTTTCTCCTTTGAGTTCTTACATGTGCAATCCACACAATCAACGAAATTGAATAGTTAAACAATAATACATTGATCACATCTATCAGACAAATAGTCACTAAAATAATAATGTTCTGTAATTGACAATGATATCACTTTTGTTTGTGCAAATGGGAAGTTCTAAGGGCTATAGCCATGTTACACATTCAACTCCCAACATTTTTAACATTTCAAATGCAATATTTTGTTTTCAAACTTAAACTCTTCCTTTGTGTAATAAGCTCAAAATCTTTCTTGATGTCCTTGATTTGCTTCTCAGTTGCTCATTTAAAGGCAACTAATAATAACCCTTTTGCCATGCAATAAAATAAAATAATAAAATATGCCTCCCTAACTAATTATTGCACATTGTAAAAAAAGACAAAGTAAAACTCAGAACTACAGTACAGTATAGTATTTTATATCTTGACTCTTTAAAGACAGGGCTTTAGAGTGAAACTGTGATTCAATGAACCTGTACATAACAAATTCCTCGGTGTAACGAACAATATTTCTCGCCCCAGTTAAGGTAAAATATATGGAAAAGAACCTGAATACAAGGAAACCTGGTGATAGTGAATGTATTTGGTCAGTCCCTTGGCCATTCATTATATCAAGGTTCCACCGTAAAATATTGAAAAAATTTTGTCTGAAATTAAAATAAACCCAAATTGCTTGGCAATTAAATGTATGCACTGCTATTGTTTCATTTCCTCAAGAACAAACAAGCAAGAATATTATTCTCTGTTCCATGACAGAAACTGTTATAACAATAATTATCTGTGACTGTTTTTAATTAACAGAAAACTTGGTTTCTTCTGTTTGTACAAACCGTTAAACTTGTTAATGTCCATTTTGAGTGAAGCTTGAATGATGGGAGGAGCTTGTAGAAGCAGAAGAAGCACTCTTTGTTCTCCAAAGTTTTCTGCTCCAAGCAGGGTGGCTAAGAGGTTGATTCTTTGGTTTAAGTTCCAATTCTTCTTGCATCTTTTCTTTCAAATCTGAAGGCAACTGTATAGAATGAACCAGAACATTTGAGTTTATTTATTTATTCATTTATTTATTTACTGAACATGGTCCAGGCCTTGCAAAATCGCTCAGACATTATAAGAGAGCTTAGTATAAACTGAAGGGAAGACTATCCCTCAAAACATTCTATTGTCTCGTAATAACAAGGCCCCAAGTTCTGTGACAGGTAGCTGGATTTGTTCTCGGTAGTCCCAAGATCAGATCCTCGGCTATACTTGTAAATAGCCAACTGATTCACCCCCTACGAGCTGGGATTCTCAACGTTGTTACGTTCCATTTGAAGTTTTATTATCCCTGAAAAACCCCAAAGGGGGAGAGAATGAAAATTCTTCTTGAGGCAATAACACCAAAATCTAGAAAATTTACTTTTTTAAAAAAAAATGATCTTTCTGTTGACCAGCTTAATCTTCAACACAGGTGGTTTAAAATCAAGGGCCTTGTGAAAATCGTTCTCACCGTCTCCACTTTCTGCGCCACAAACTTTTTGTCCAAGGACTGATTGCACTTCAAAAGCTGAACAACCAGTGAACAGTCCCTTTTGTTTTTTATCTATGATCAATAATAAGAATAAACCACAATTAACCCCAGACAGCCATTTTAACATTTTTTCAAGTTAAGAGAGATAGGCAGTCTTAACTCAGGGGTTGGGGGAGGTGGCGGGAGAAGTCCATGTTGGTACAGTAGAACCTCAATAACCTGAACTCGGATAACTTGAATTCCCCGCTAATTCAAACTAAATTTCCTTTCCCTCAATCAAAATTTCGCTGAAATTTACCCCACTTACTCGAACTGTTTTTTGTTTCCCTTCAGAGTTTGAGTTACCAGGGTTCTACTGTATGTGCTACTGGAAGGCTACGATAGGTTATAGAATTCAAAGGATTCTGGTAGAGAATAATCATTATGTGTCATTCTTTTGTGGGTACTGAACAGTGGTTAGAGGAATGTTGGAGTTTCTGGCTCATAACTTAGTTTAGATAGCATAGGGATTTTTGGTGCCTAGTGAAGAATGGGGAAGTACATGTATATTGCAACTTAACATAGTCTAGTAAAAGCCAAGGGTTCCAGAATCCTGGTAGCACCCCCGCCCAAAATTTTTCAGAGTACCCCCCCCTTCCGGTTTGGGTCTTCCTAACCTTAACCCTTTAAGCCCTAAGAGTGATCAGCATCAATTTTCTCCTTTTTATATCAATGCTTTATAAAACAGAGTGGTCATGAGAATTACAGACATGATCACACAAGATGAATTTGTTTGATATTTTATCAACTTCTCCCCACTACTTCTGTAGGAAATGAATATGGGCAACAAATAAGAATTCAAATTTTGATCTTAGGGTTTAAAGGGTTACCCAGTAAGTTTACTTATAATGTGCAATTATATGTTCACTTTCCCCTCCTTTCTTTTTTCACACACAAATGTTGTTCTCAACTCTCAGCAGATCTCCCCTGTATTCTTTGAGTTCTGTCCTAGTTCTCAGTCCTTCCTTGCATATTGCTGCTAATCTCATACCCAGATCTCTTGTTGACAAAGCTGATGGCATTGCTGCGATCTCTTGGTACCAAGTGAAGGGTACAATAGCTTATCTCTGCCAATTCCTATTCCCCGTCCAAACCCTTAGCATTGTTTTCCCGCTAAATGGCAACTTTACAGCTGGTCAATAATTCTCAGTTAATTCTCAATTTACGTGATGCTAAGTGTTACAAGTATATCTATCTATCTATCTGTCTATCCATCCGTCACCTGACACAAAGGATGGCAAGCTTATGATAAGAGCCCTTTTCATATACTATAGTATCAGAACTTATATCAGAAAATGTTTGTGGTTCAACTTACGCATTCTTGCTCCAGATCATTCATTTTCTCAACAAAGTCCATTAATTGCTTTGACATGACTCCCACAGTCTCTTCAAAGCGAGCTTTCTCTGACTGCATTTGATCAGCCTAATAAAAGTGTGGTCAAGTATTACATGTAGTGTAGATTGCCCAGTACTAGAATAACAATTTATATTTATGCAGAGTAAAAATCAAAGGAAATTTAAGGGAAAATATACAAAAAATCTCAGTACTCATGGATAATTATTCTATTAGAAGGGAGCTAGCTGCATTATAGAGTTGTCTTTTTTAACTCCATTTCCCAGCTATTTTGTCTTGATTTTCTTACTACTAGAACTGCCTTCTTGAACAGCTTCCTCCTTTGTCAACGTTGATGTCTACTTTAAAATTTATTGAAACCCAGTAGAACTAGCAGACAGAAAAAGCCAAAAGTTGTCATTTCAATCATGTATAAGGGGTCGACAATTGGATCAGAAAGGCAACAACATTACCAGTTGAAGGATTCTATTTTCTAGCTCTTGGTTTTTCTTGACAACATCATCATAATCGCTTTTAAGCCTGGAAATTCAATTTAAGAATTGGTTAGCCACTACAAAATTTTTTGATAATTTTAAAAGCTTGAACCTGTAAATCTCCAGCAAAATAGTAAAAATAGAATAGCAAATGCCTGGGGCTTCCCAAGGATAAAGGTAGAAGAATGCATATCTCCACTGTCATTTGGAGGATGTGTTTTTATTTCCATAACATAGGGAGAACAGTTGTGACAAAATGATGAAAAAATGTGAAATTTGTAATTTTTGCAATTTCCGTTGAATTGTAAATTGAGTTTCATGTGTTGTTATTTACATAACAAAGGGGAACAAGTTGTAAAATCTGAAGCGCCGTTTTTTGTTTGGGAAAAGTCATTAATTTTGTAGATTTTTGGCAGAGTTATCCTGGATGTAAGTGGCTCAAAGGCCAAAATGTGCCATTATAGGTGGGTGATGTGGTCTGATGTATTTTATCCAAGATAGTAGGTTTTCCAAAGTTAAAGATCAACTAATATCTAACAAATAAGCACTCATCATACCTTTTGATGTGTTCTTGTGATGATTCTAGAGCAGATTCCGTCTGTTCATTTACAGGAATAGTATTTTCATTTTTCTCAGCATCGTGTGAAGCAACACCATTATCACCTTTCTCCTCTGCACATGTTGTCTTTTCTTCCAGCGTCTGTATTTTGACCTTCAGTTCTTGATTTTCCAATCTGGAAAATTCATATTTTCACGAATTATTATTTAAGGGGGTAAAAAGGTGGCATCAAAAATCTTAAGCCAAAATACACTGAATAAAAATGGATACAGAAGTCTATGAACATATTTACTGCCTTGAAATGCACTGTCCCTTAAATCTTTCCCAGCCTAATTGTGTCTGGATTTTATTATCTACTTTTTCAGTATGCCATACCTTAACTGATCACAGCTATTTGTGCATCCGCAAGTCTGCTTGAAAATCAAAAAAGAATTATGATTAGTATTAAACACATATAATAATATTATCAAAATTAAATGTTGTTAATAATGTCCTTTCCCTTAAGTGCTTGTTTTAAAGTAAAATAAATTAAACCTTCAGGTACATTGTAGTAGCATTTAACCCTTTAAGTCCCAATAGTGACCAACGTCAATTTTCTCCTAACAATATCCATACATTGTCAAGAGATGAGGTTAACAAAGATTACCAAAGAGAAAATGCCTTGATCTTACATTAAATTCTCTCAGCTAATTCTTAAAGGAAATCTATGGAGATCAGTTTGGAGAATTTGTATGTTGATATTGGGGCTTAAAGGGTTAAGCGAGTCTCTCACAATTTGTTACTTTGGACCTCTAACACAGAAAAAAAACAAAGAAAAAGGAAACCTATAGCAATAAGCCATTTCCAAGTTCCAAAAATTACTTTTAAAACAAGGCTAAGTGCAAAAATCAGTTTCATATACATGAGGGTAAAAAATCATTTTAATGTTAAATGGCTTTACTCTTAGTCTCGCTTTGAAACAAAGGGTTGGGGCACCCCGAAAATAGCCTTTTGGTCAATGGTCTCAAAAAACAGCTTCCCTTACTCCAAAAGATAGCCAGATAACATGTAACTGATTGGCAGCCCAGGTTTTCAGTATTTTCTTGATGTTAGTGGTAAAGTTAATCATGGACATACTCTTCGTTGTTTATTACCTGAGAGGGAGGGCTGACCATTTTGACACCAGTTGACTGTATATAGAGTATGTGGTGCATGCTAGAATAGGTGCGTTTGTAGTTTCCACAGCTGTTGGGTGGGGGCCACTTGATATGTAAAATTTATGGGGGCTCATTTCTAAAAAGTTAGGATGAATTGGACGGGGTGGTTTGAAAATATCTGCTAAGCTTTCTAAGCTAAACTTAGCCTTGTTTTAAAAGTAAGCTTCTAAGCTGCTCCCCCCCCCTTCCCCTCCCCCAACTCACAGGCAACAGACGACTTAATATTATGTTTATTACAAATATTACTTGATATAATACTTTACCCCACAGCAAGGCTGAGCCATAATATTTTGCTTATCTTTTACTTTAAAACCACCAATTACAAGGTCTTGTGTTGCTTGCTCTTGGACATTTCTAATAACCTTTACCTAAAAGGAAAAGGTAAAATTTGAAACAAATCAATGCAAGTCTTTAGACGTGTGTTCATTGTATTGCTATGCAAATATGAGTCAGTTATTAACTCCTGTCTGTGATTTCTAAACATTTGGTGCTGTTTGTTATGTTTTCAAGGTGGTTGTAATAACCTACCATGTTATTTATGAATTTGAAAAAAGCAATTTACATTATGCTAGCACTTTTTCGAGCATTTTAATGAGGCAAAAGCATCAAGCATTAATCGAGCATTTTAGCGGAGTTCTCCCGAGAATTTTTGTTTTTAGGGAAAAATGAAAATGAAAACATATTTTAAGAGAAATGAACACCAAAAGCCGAAATTAAAAAAAATATATCAAATGCCATCCTAATACAGCCGTCTAGAGGACTATCTTTTGCTGTATTAAAGCCATTAACTTGTACACGTTGTTGTTATACCATGTTGTATGACGAGCATTAAAGTGACTTTTTGTGGAGGAGATTGAGCATTTTGGCGGAAGGTGGAGCATTTTACTGGGGAAACAACAGCATAATGAACAAAAACTTTTCTCATGGTGACATAACCGGGTGAAATTTGATATAACCATAAAATTCTATTTCCTTTGTTTACATTTTTAACAGACTATTTATGTTAAAATACACAGAAACTAACCCAAAAACAATGAATTAGAAGGCTGTAAAGATTAAAGGACAAGTGTTAGTAAAACTAAGAACAGATAGAAGAAAGCCAACATTAATTTCCTCGTAAGAAGTAAAAAACTGAGGAGAAGCACGTAATTATGCTCTTGTCTCGCTTGATTGAATAATTTTTACTTATTATATCACGTATTACAAGTGTACAATTTTAATTAAACAATGTGCTGTTTCAAAACACGAAAGGACTAGAAACGTTAAAATGTCTTAAATTAAATGCAATATTTAGTTTAAGGTTGCTTGGTCAACCTTGTAGTCAAAACATCCGAATCTTATTGAGACTTCCGTGTGTAGACTGTGGCTCTTTGTGCCATTTCTTTGTGCTCATATTGGTCATGAATCGAAAGCTGTTGTCTCGTTTGAAACTTACGTATTTCGAGTTGTATTACTGTCAAGTGCTCCAAATACGATTTTTAAGTGTGCAACTGAAGAAATGCTGATAGAGTGACGTGGTTTGTTAGAAAGATAGCAATCGTTCAAGCCTCTTCAAAAGTAGCTCTCTGGCACAGTCGAGTCACGGGTGCGTTTTGGATACTTGGTCTGTAGAAAGCATTTGCATGATTTTCTCTTATCAGCTTTCCTGGATAAAAAAGGCTTTCAAATAAGTAAAGAAAGACCCTACCTTTTGAGTTGTTTCAACTATCTTGTGTTTCCACACGAGTTACAAATTAATGAGAGCTTTCTCTGGTTGTCAGTGTGTCAAGACGTACTGGGTATCAAGTAACCTATCGCCCACTCAGCTACGTGCGAAAAAACCATAATCACAATTGACCCTCAATCGACACGTAATTTTTAGAGAGCATTCGCTCCAGTTTGTCGCGGTCACTGATAGAGCGCCTAGATACAAATATCCGGATTTTTTTAAAGATATTTAGAAGATTTGGAGATATTTAGAAAATCTCATGATATTTTGGAAAAATTGTGATATTTAGATTTTTGTTACGAAAAAAGTACTGAAATCATGTTTTTTCTACGAAGCAACTTCAATGCTAATTAGGGCATGGGCATTTCAGTGACAGAAATTCAAACAAATCTTCACATATTGGCCTGTTGTAATCAGATTTAGCAATATTCTCCGTTCATAATATATGCAATGTAGCTAACAACAAAATGGCTGATGATGCACTCTCTGGGCCACGCACAAACCAAACGGTAGTGTCCCTTTTAGACCACTTTAGACCTCCAGCACCTAAAGGTCTTTCACGAACTCTGCCGGTATTAAAGTGGGGTACCCTAGTCTTCTTGGAGGCTGAGGTGTACTGTAAACAAGGTTGATTTTATGTGGAATTGTTTAAAGTTTTGTTGTATGCTGTACAAGAATATAAATTCCTGAAATTTGCTGAAATTGTGCTGCCATGTTAGATGACAGGCTATTTTTCGTGTTTTTACCGTAATATGTATGAAATGCGACCCGTTTTAAACCTTGTACGACATCAAGAACTGACGTTAAATTGAGAAAATAAAGGAATCACGAAGTGACCAAAAAAATAATTCAAAGCTAATAGCAATGTAATGTTGATTTTATTTCCTGTGTTTTACTAGGATCAACTTAATAAAACTTTTACAAAATGACTACACTTGTAAATTACACTTGTAAAAGTTTTGTTAAGTTGACCCCTGTGCTCCTAGCTAGCCGCGAATAAATTAGAACAATCCATTTGATATGATTTGCTATGGTAGCACGAGTTATATGAGAGACTCACGTAAATTTTCCGGTGTATGACATTTGCAGACTGCAGACTGCTGACCGCACAGACTGCAGACTACCAGACTAGAAAAAATATCATCATAGAGATGGTGTCATCATCAACATTGCCTCATTATTCCCAACTTATAACAACATGAGAAACTCATATTTTCGGTTTAGATTTTCGGTGCAAATTACATCGACCTCATTCCCAAAGGAGCTGTCGGCTGTTCTTCTCGTATTGAAAGAGCAGAGTAATGATAGCCGGCGTGGCAAGCGTTGAAAGGGGAAGGGGTGGTGTCGCGCCCTAATTCCCTTCCCCTCCCTTTCGAACGCCTGGCACGCAAGCTAGAATAACGACTGCCGATGTTACAAACTCGCTCGTGAATCCATAGTAAAAGTCTAGCAATTAAGTCTGCACGACAGACGAAACTAATCTCTGGTTAAGTCTGTCTGTGAAACAGCGCCGGAATCCTTATTCTACGGGGGCCATACCTGTGTACCAGGAATTGAGTACGAGCAATGATTAGCCTGTTAAAAAAGCCATTGTCGATTTGCCCATTAAGGTGAAACGAAATTCAAAATGCACTTCCGGTTAGACCATTTTCGATATATTAAAATCCACACTTGGCTCCGAGGCTTGGAGGAATAAAACGAAAGAAATGTATTATTCATTGCTGAGCCTCAAGATCATTTCTTTTGTTTTATAGAGTATTTTCACTCGCGTGGCCAGCATCTATGCAAATTTATTGGAACAAAAGAAAGTGTTTGCATAAAAAAAGAGTTCAACTCCCACAGGACTAGTTTGGGACACCAACATGGCCACCGTTTCATTGTTTTGGGACACCAATATGGCCGCGGCGACGTCATGTGGAAACACTCTATTCTCCCAAGCCTCGTAGCCAAGTATGAATTTTAATATATCGGAATAGGTCAATTCGTTGAGTCCAGGGAGGAACTGTTCGCTTCAGATTATTTGGTATATCTCTAAGTACTGTCAAGATGAAATTTTTGCGTCACTGAAAAGGTGTTAAATGTCCTTGATCTATCCTATTTGTTTTTTACCGAACTGTAGTGAGCGTGAAGTGCTCGCATCTAAAAACAGTTTTTACGGAAGACCTCAGTTTAGACAGGTATGGCTACTTGCCATTATTAATTAACAACAATCAAAAACAGAGAAAGAATCCTACTGAAATCAACTCAATTAACATAACGTACCCTTTATTACGGGGCTATTCTGTCGTAATATACAATGGTAACAAATATACAATGATAAAATTACAGTGGGGCAAAAATATTTACATTTGTTACAACGAGAAATATTTACATGAGTTTATGTACAGTCATTAAAAAATGTGGTTCAATCGATCTATTTAAGAAAAGTTTCCAAGAAAGTGGGCGGCGACTTTTAAGTCTTTTAAACTTGAGATATTGTTTAAGTTCCGAATGTTTTCTAGAAGTAGGTTGTATTCTTTTGCCCCAAGAAAGGCGAAAGAGCGTTGACCAGTCGATAATCTGCATTTAGGTAGATTTAACGGTTACATGTTTCTAGTGCTGTGTCCTGTCACGTTAAATCTATCATGAAATAAATTGCAAAGATAAGGTGGTGCCTGATTTGTTCTACACTTTTGAACCATAGTAACAGTATTTAACAGAAGTTTTTGACGGACGCTTAGCCAACCAAGGGATTTGCGCGGCGCAGAGACGAGATTAAATATTTTGATACCTAGGATTATTGTGCAAGCAAAGGTAGTGATACGAGTCGATAAAGAGTCGGTGAAGACCAGCCAACAGCATCTTGGAAATGAGGCCAATGTAATTTTGCGCAAAAAATAGAAACCTTGTTCTCAGGCTACATGTACTTCCTCACTTTCTTGGAAGAAACGATGTAAAATTTTTGATGACGTCACCTTTATTAGGTGACGGGGTCATACACCGTAAATTTTCAAGATAGCTGTTCTAGATGCATTAGGGTTCGAGTGAAATTGTGAAACCCTTTTATTTATATAATGTTTTTTTTTAACGTCATTTTGACACTGAAGACATTAGTACTTTTAGAGGCAATACAGTACTCCCCTCCGGTGGAAATTCATCCTTTATGAAATAGGGTTTTAATTTAAACAAAAATGTGAAGTTAATGTAAGCATTTGTGAAACCATGCGGAATCGGAAGTCCTTAAGTATTTGACGTTGATTGTGAGTGAAGTTTTGTTAAAACAAAGGCAATTGCGTAATGTCACGGTACGTGAACATCGACAATACTCCCACGTGGTTGCGTGTCCTTTCCCAGTCTACTCACGGCTTCTACAAAACACGTAAAAGGAACAGCTTTGCAGAAGGATAGGCCTTTCATCACTCCGATGTGGCAAATCACGGAGGCTAAACAAAATGTCCACGAAAAAGCTCTTGTCAACCGTCGCTGTCCATTACTTTGGCTTTACCATGGCCCTGGACTATTCTATTGTATTGGTTTCCGTGCAAGAACTGTGGTATTCGCTCGGAGGTAGCAACGCTTACTACGGAGTCATGTTTGGTAGTTATGCCCTCGCTCAAGCGATAATTTCACCATTATTAGGCTATATTTCGGACTTACGTGGCTTAAAGTTCGCCGTTATGTTGTCGCTGATTGTTAATGTCATAGGAAATGTCATGTATGGTCTATCCGTTGTTTCACAGTCTCTAAACATGATGTTTTTTGGACGTTTTATAGCGGGTATTAGTGCCGGATCTGTGACACTCGCGCTTGTGTATTTGACAAACACTACTCTCAGAGAGACGCGTGGAAAATCTGTGGCGAGCTTTAAACTTGCCCAAGCAGTTGGGCTGTTGGGAGGGCCAACGGTAGGGATGTTTCTAGTACCGTTATTCTCGAGGAAGGGCGACATAGCGACGACATTAAATAGCTCATTGACTGTTCAAGTATTCAATACATACACAACCCCTGCTTGGCTGGCGACCGCGAATGTCGTACTGTTTATGTTGCCCCTTATCAAATTCTGTTTCAAGAATCCACTGGCTCCACACATGGCAATGAAATTTGACTGGAGAGAAGCGAAAGGACTCATATGGCACACTTTGACCCTTATGTTGTCGGTATTTGTCGGAACTGCCTGTTTCTGGGGAGTTACAAGTGACTTGTTCACCCTGGCCTTTGGTAAATACAGTCTCACAGCGGAACAGAGAGACTTGTGGAAAGTTTACATTTCCGGAGGGATAGCTTTCGTGCTTGCGGGTGTGTTAATTAGAGCTGGAATTCATAAGAAATTTTCACCCGCCATGTTTTCTATCCTTGGACTTATATTTAATGTCTGGGGTTTTGTATTGCTTTTGGATTACCCTATTGAAGATGAACGATTGAAGAACGGGTTTTATTTTGGTGGTGTCGCGCTGTCGACTTCCGGTGCGGCTGCATTTTTTACTGGAGTAGGGGTTTATTACTCTCAGAAGATAACAGACTTCAGTGATCAGGCCCGTAATCGCCGAGGTGTTTTCCTTGGATTTTTCAACTTAGCTGATTCCATGGGAAGATTCGCGGGTCCTGCCCTGATACCAGTGTTTTTACATTTGTGGAACAAGGGAGGCAAAAAGTGTGAATCTACCAAGTTTGACACAAGTAACTGTGAAGTGGAAAACATCAATATTGTCCTTGCAGCACTTTGTGGGATACTGTCTATAGATCTGGTCCTTTTTGTATATTATCATATTGTACACGGCAAACGACATAATGATGGATTTTTGCTCACCAACACAGACCTCCCTGGCAGGTTTACATTCAGAGAGGATTTGGACGATGTTAGAGATGGGGATGTAGAAGATCCTGATCAAACACAAATGGAGCTGTCTCCACCTCAGAGACACAGGACATCTCGTACATCATCTTCACGTGCCTCT